TCGTCGTAGAGAGGTAGTCACAGTAAGAAAGTGGCCGTTGTAAGGGTGTAGCCTTTTGAGGGAGGCTGCCATTTTAAGCGGCTAACCTCCGTAGGGTAGAGGCCTTAGCATAGAAGTTCTACAGAATTTAGACCTTTATTACGTTCTTCAAAATAAGGTCTTTTAGATGATAATATCAATTTTTTATATCATAATGGTTTTTGTCTTTGCAGAATGAAAGCGTGTCCATAATTCAGCGGGCGTGGCGCAGATTTATATCCAAACTCGCTGAATTAAGCTAATGCGCATATGAGAAGAAATTGACTTCAAGGTATTTTGATATGGAGTTACATGTTAACCTTTGTAAGGTAGAGGCCTTAGCATAGAAGCTCTACAGAATTTAGACCTTTAGTACGTTCTTCAAAATAAAGTTAATTCTTTTAGATGCTGATATCATATGTTGATATCACGATGCGTTTTGTGTCTGCAGAATGAAAGTGCCTCCATAATTCAGGTGGTTTGGCGCAGATTCAAATGCAAACTTGAATTTAAGGTACTTTGATATAGAGTTATATGGTGAATTTAGGGTTATCGTGCAATTTCAGTTATACAAAAAAAGAGTAGGATCATTAATAAATAGCATTTGAAAGGGAAGAGGTTTCAACAGCTATTTTGAGTAGTATACGGTGAATTCGCCACATATTTCAGATCATGTCCGCCGGGCTCAGTTCAACTTCTAATTCTTCAAAAGTGCTTATGGTGGAATATGATCATATTCACCACCCTAACCGCAAGCAACACTGATGCTTTTGTAAAGCATCCTAACCGAGACTAAGCAAGCAAGATACAGAAGCTAAATCAGTTTTTCTAGCGTTCCTTGGCCCTTGGCGAGAGAGGAGTTTCAATGTATTGATCGTTTAACTTAATCGGGCGATTTTAGTTATTATCTAGATCTGATCCAAGAAGAATAGCTTCATTTTAAGAGGCATTATTTGTTCCCTTTCGACTCCATGATCTTATCAGGGAAATGGGTTTAGAATTTAACTTCATCAGTATATGACTGGTGCTTTTCTTTTGACAGATCAGAGCAGTTGGATTGTTGCAGAAAACTTGGAGGGAACACCGAACCAAACGAAGGGTGATTATCTTTGGCATTAGTGTTTTGCATTTTTCTTATTTTATCTGCGGTCCATGTTGAACCTTTTATGATAATGCCTATAAGCAAAGAACGTAAATCGTGTACAATGTTGAAATGATCTTAAATTAAAATATTTGAAACTAGAATCTTCGCCTCCCCCCTTAATATAGATTTCGTATTCACGTGCGGCTCGCGTGTTATATAATCTAGCGAGATTTGAACTTGGCATTGGTAGTTGATGTGGACAATTTTGTGTACTCGTAACTTAGTTTTTTTCTTACTCTAGCAAAGATGATTTAGTAAGCCTTTCTGAATGGTTGATTTTCTGTCATATTGGATACATTTATCAGTATTAAATGTTGGGGCTTCGGTCATGGATGCCGAGCATTTCTTTGTAAAACTTACTCCACCCGTATCAGAAAAGT